CTCCGCACCTGTAGTTTCCTTTAATTCAAGCCCCTGAGAGGTACGTCCAGACGGGTCCTGGTGAGATGTGGCTGAAGCGCGAGGGCGGCGACAACTTCTGGATCCCGGCGCCACCCCCAGGGCTGAGGGCCATCCAAATAAAGGGAAAAAAGAGCAGCTGAAACCTAAACCCCTTCCAAAAAAAAACAGCTGCAAGAAAACAAGCAGCTTTATCTCTGAACCCTAACCCCCTCAACCCCAAACCCCACAGTTTTAAATCTTGCCGCTTCATTTTCTATCCTCGCAACGGCCCGCCTGAGCCACACGTGCTTCACCAAGAAGCCAACTTCGAAGCTTACACTGTGGCTTCCAGTACTTTTTTATGTTATACCATGAGGTACACAAGGAGCATCTTCATATTATGCTACTGTGGAAATCAAGGTATGTTCTACTAGGTTCCTGAACAGTACCCTTTTGCCCATTTTATTGTAGGGTTCCCCTATCCAACCTGAATAACAGGAAAGAGGGTACCCTATTGTATAGGGGTCACTCAGTTTTTGGTGTAAATTAAAAGTTCGAATTAAAATAAGGAACCCCAAACTAGTATAGGCAATTGTTGAGGCCCTTATATTAACGCTAAAGCACAGCTCTCTGCATCGCAGAACTCCCCAGTCAGGGAAGCTTCGTCAAACAATACTGAACACTTCAACCCTAAACCCTAAACCCTAAACACTAAACCCTCTGCAGCTACAAGCCCCCAAAGTCCTGGGCTTTGGTGCCGCCTGACTGTTTGCGCCCTCCAGTTTGCTTAAGCACAGTGAGGGTCGTGACTAAGTTTGTTGTGCTTGTACGGCTAAGACACATGTCAGACGGCTTAAATCCTTAAATCCGAAATCCCCAAACCCTAAACCCAGGATTCGTAATTCAATCGCGTACTGTGCTCTCAGGTAGCTTGTGAACCCTGTTAATGGCTTCCAGTGAAGCCTAGCAAACCCTCGAGCATCCTAACCCCTTCATAACGCTCTAGAGAAGCCCTGTTTGTAAAGCTTCAAGGAACCTGCAAAGCCTTATGAAGCCGTGAAAGCCTAGGGTTTAGGGTTTAGGGTTTAGGGTATGAAGACGTGAAAGCCAGAACAACTTTACAGAGACTCTCTGGAAATCGGGCTCCTTAACCCAAACAACCCTAAGCCCTAAACCCCGAAACCCTCAACCCTAAGCGCCTAAACCCTAAACTCTTAAACCCCTAAACCCCAAACAACCCAACACCCCTAAACCCTCAACCCCAAATCCCAAACCCTAAACCCCAAAACCCTAAACCCTAAACCCCAAATCCCAAACCCAAACCCCAAACCCCAAACCCTAAACCCTAAACCCCAAATCCCAAACCCTACTCAACCTCTCATAATTAGGATAAGTATACTTATAACCCTTATCATAACCTTACTTACTAAGTCCCGTGATCCTTCAAGTAAGCGCCTCAACCCGCAACCCTCAACCCCTAATCCCTAAACCCCTAAACACTCAACCCTGAGCGCTTAAACCCTCAACCCTAAACCCCTAAACCCCTAAACCCCAAACAACCCAACACCCCTAAACCCTCAACCCCAAACCCCAAAACCCTAAACCCTAAACCCCAAATCCCAAACCCCAAACCCTAAACCCCAAACCCTACTCAACCTCTCGGTAGGTGCCCTAAACCCTAAACCCTAAACCCTA